AATTAAAAAAGCCAGTGTGCGAAGTAAGTTAATATTACTGCAAAAACAAAATATTACCATGGGTCAACACTAACAAAAAATTACTTACTTTTGGCATCCAAAGATTCCTCTGCAAAATGAGAGAAAAAGAAATACAATTAACTCCTACCTGCCGTCATCATATTCCTTCTCACGGAGAATTTAATAATTTAAGAAAGCATACATCTTTTCTTGTGCGAACTTTCCACGCTTCGCGCGGGAGACCTTTGACGTACGGGTTCGAGGCGAAAACGTCAATACTGATGACATAACAACACAATGTACTGTGATTACTGAATTTAGGAAAACAACCGATGAGTGATCTCTGTAGTTTTCCCCGATTAATCTCAGACGTTTCTCTCAAGAGCTAGGATCGATGCAATCGGCATGCTTGGAGTTAAACTCTACCGAATACACATATACAAACATACGTATATTCAACAAAAATCTGATCGTTTTCACTTGAAGCAATCTCGAAACCTTTTCTCCTCTGTTTACTGTCAGGAAATCGAAACTGGCCTCAAAAACTATAAAGTTTATTGCCCGCAATTACGATTTAATTGCGATAATAAAAATTAAAGTTATCGATAACTAAAAAGCTACCGCATGTGAAGCAAACTATATGTTAAAAAAAGAAATGAAAAAAACACTGTCAAAAACTCAGGTGTAAGTTAACAAATTGACACCAGCATTTTACTCGTCTGTCCTCTTGTTGATGATAGTCAAAGTAGCTGCTATAGATCCACGAGCCGTACCGAGTGGATCCACTGAAACATTGTCAACTTCTTTGACAATGTTAAGGCAAATTTTGTCCTTAATAAGAAGTCATGATCACAAGAGGAGAGACACATAAAACCTGGATCAATTTGTTTTTTACAATACCAAAACGAACAAGGAGACTGCCGACGAGAGAAAACGTTAGGTAAAAGTGCGGGAGAACCCGAAATGATGTTATTCAAAATTATGTACCGAAACTCACGACGTTATAAAACTACGCACGTCCAACACAAGACTAAAATGCAGAACCGGAATTCTGTAAATATCCTTCAATCCACACGAAAATTCTAGAAACCCCACTTGATAATTTGAATACGACACAAATATCGATTCGTTCCGTTAATCGAGTTCCACGTCAAAATTTTGATCAATACGTTTTCTTGCCCAAAAATTGAACCCAATATCAACTAAAAGTCACCCTAAACGATTTGATGATTTACTTCAAAGAAGTCCTGTTAAAATGAAATCTGTCCCTTGAATCGTGCATTGACAACGCTGAAAACGTTGTGAAAAACATTACAAAGTTTTCAGTGCGTGATTGCGCCATAATGCATCAGTGTGACGTGTCTGTAGTCTCATCGACGATGAAAATTAGCCTATTAGGGTGTAGTCTCGATTTCCAGCCATTTGAGAGTCCGGTTGTGATCTTACGATCTTCCTCCCAACGTGGTGTGGGGAAATGAAAGCGGGCTCACAAAAGAGCTGGAAATCGAGCCTAATTAGCGTGCGGTGGGAGAAATTTGACAGTTATTATAAATGTAGTTTTATACAACATGTCGCGCATGATTATCCATCTACAACGAATATCGTCCAAATAACGCTCGATATAAGTGTAAATATACAGTGATATTGTATAGTTATTTGTACTGTAGAAAACCTGCTTGACATACCGGTTAACATGGACAACGTACGATGCACAGTCCGAAACGAAAACAAAATGGAGGAGATTTTCGCAACATTTGAGGACGATTATGAATTTGAATGGCAACCTGAATTTGGCCTAGACTTTGAAAAATGTTTGGTCGATAACAAAGACCTTACTGTAAAAGGCGAGGCAGGTGAAGAGACCCCTTCGACTTCTGAAACAGGAGCTGTGCTGAATGATGCGGAGTTTATTGAGGAAAACATAAACATAAATCCAAATCTTACCTGAACTTTTGGAAAAATAATGGAGAAATCAAGACTAATACATATACCTTATTGGAGAAGACTACTAGTATACTAATGCAAATGCTGTAATCTGATTGGCTGAGCCATTGAACCGCACTACCAGCCATTAGTGTGCAGTGGCTGAAGGTCGTCTAGGAAATGGTGACTTTTTTTTTTTCGATTTTCCAAAGCGTTGGAGGAAAATTTTGATGCGAATGGATAATTAAATTCCTGAGAAGCCTAAATGAAGGACATTTACGGTTTCTTGACTTTTAAAAAAGTTGAAATTATTGAAAAAACTGATGCGCGCGCGCACACGCAACTTCAATTTTAAATGACAATTCAGTCCGAGCGATCTTTCTCAGAGGCAAAGTTTAATAATACGTCAAGAAATAATTGGAAACCGTTATTTGAAGTAAATTGTAGTAAGAATTCTACTAAAACAATTAGATTCTTNTTCAGTCCGAGCGATCTTTCTCAGAGGCAAAGTTTAATAATACGTCAAGAAATAATTGGAAACCGTTATTTGAAGTAAATTGTAGTAAGAATTCTACTAAAACAATTAGATTCTTGGCTCTCGATTTGTATGGGGTGATAGTTGATTCGGCCTTCGGCCTCATCAACTATCACTTCATTGAAATCTCGAGCTCATAATCTAATTGTTAGTTAGATATTTTGGTGCGTAGTATCGCTGTATATTTTTACGGTGTGCCGTTTTTGACGAGCCCGTAGGGCAAGTCAAATACAAACAACGAGTAAAAACATAAAGCGATATTACACACCAAAACATCTAATAAGAGATTTATTATCCAACTGCTGTAGTCAATAAACTTATCAATGAAAGAGGGAGCCGGTGTGACAGTTTTGCGTGCGCGTACCGACCTGTACGGCAAACAGGTCTTCTACTGTACAGTATCGCTGTATATTTGTACTTTATTTAGACGGTATTTGCTGCAGTTGGATAATAATAATACTAATACATCCACAGAATCAGAGAAGACGTCAGAAAATGGTAAGAACTTCAGTGGCTACATATTGCCTCGTGTGCCATTTTTCTGTTCTGACTACATTTTGACGTCATCTGTGATCAGTTACTGAACAGACGCACGGCAATATGGAATCTTTCTGTTAAGTTGACAACGAAGCCGCCATCAGTCTTTGTTACCCGCAGTGTACATGTCAGCACAGCAACCGCTAATTACCAAGCTTAAAAAGCATGAAAATTGCTCTTCTATAACATTCGCTCCTAGTGCGTAAAGGAGCTCTATCGAGCACCATCACCTGTCATCTCATTTACTGTAAGTCGTTCATAGCTAAGAGTTGTTGATAACTAAAATGCCAGTGTGCGAAGTAAGTTAATGTTAATATATAGATTTAGCCAAGCCTAAAAGCAGAGCTTCTGGGCACCTTTGTTCAAAACCCGATTAAGCTAACGCAGCGAGAATTTTGATTTCAATTTTCTAACTTTGCGGTGAGGCTTTCTGTTTATGTTTTTGGCCTTCTGTTTTGATTTTGAATAATCTTAAACTACACCAGGAGCCCTGACCGTAAAGCAGTGAAAAACACTTGTGTAGAAGTTAAATTTGTGCTTCGGTTATCTAATAATGCTGCGGCCCTTGCTATCCTACTTTATCGGTTCTTGTCATGTTGGTGTCTCGAAACGTTTTTCATCTAGTATCAGCCTTGCAGTCTATTGTTTGTCTAATTACAACAAATTAACCTGACATGAGCCCGCGATCCAATCAAAAACAAGTACTTGGTCAGTGGTCAACTTTAACAAACTACATGACCTCGATGAGTTATAAATCTGAGCCCTCGATGTGGTCACGTGATACTGGTCAGAGGATACCTTGTTTTGACAGGTGTTAAAAGTGATTGCCACTAAAAATCAAAGAAATCGTTGCCACGGTCGAAAAATTGATTTTGCTCATACTTTGCCAGTTTCAAGGCCTAGGTAAGTAACTGAGCGAAATCAAGTTAGTTTTTTGAAATATCCAATATAACGGCAGAAATTCACGAAAAAATTCACCGAAAGCTCAAATTTCACCTCGCCGTGAGAATCCGAAATTTTACACTTTTCAGCTTCTTGCGACATAGTCGTTTACATCGCTGTGAAACGTTTTCAACTTTAAATGTATACATTGATTATTCCCAGAAGCATATCACCTGGAGAGTGCGATTTAAAAGTTTGGTGTTTCTCTTTCTCTTTTTTTGAACTCTTGTCGGCGATTTTTTAAGTTAAATACTACTTTTAAAGCGTTTCAAACGTTAAAGACATTAACCTGCTTTGATGGTCCTTTCTCAAGCGAACAAAAATAGTCTTACCTATTTTAGCGTGTTGCGTTACAC